ATTTTGGTGTCTCTACCTCAAAGATTGAACCCCATATGAAATGCTTGGACGAAACCCCTTCCACCTGACTGATCTTAGTGTTGACTGTCCACATTTGTTCTCAAATGCACAGTTCAGTTTATTATCTGTGGTTCAAAGTCGATAGTTTCTCTGAGTTTTTTGCATCTTTTTTTGATATTTCGTCTCAGCAGCAATGTTACTCTCTGAGGACTAATTTTGTTGTTTTCAATGCTCCCCTTTACTTCTTTAGTTTGCCTTCATTAAATCAGGAACCGTACATATGTGGAGAATCTCTTAATGTGATACTCTCATTTTAAATTTTAAACTGGCCTTGCAGCAGGGAATCTGAACCCCGTCTCTAACACAGAGATTCAGAAGCATGTGAGCAAGCAGCTTTCTAATCCCCAGACTAAGCAGTATCGGAAGACGTTGAAGATGCCCACATTAATTCTAGACAAGAAGGATAAGATGGCATCAAGGTTCATCTCTAATAATGGATTAGTTGAGGATCCGTGTGCGGTTGAGAAAGAAAGGATGATGATTAACCCATGGACCTCAGAAGAGAAAGATGTTTTCATGGAGAAGTTAGAATATTTCGGGAAGGACTTTGGAAAAATTGCTTCCTTTCTTGATCATAAGACAACAGCAGACTGTATTGAGTTCTACTACAAAAATCACAAATCTGATTGCTTTGAGAAAACTAAGAAGCTGGAGTTTGGGAAGAAAGCAAAGTCCTCCACTGGTAACTATTTGATAACAACAGGGAAGAAATGGAATCCAGAAACAAATGCTGCTTCTCTCGACATTTTGGGCGCTGCTTCAGCAATGACAGCTTGTGCTCATAAGTATTCTAGCAGCAGGTTGGGTGGAAGAACTGCATGTTACACGACTCAATTCGATGATAATCTATCAGAAAGGGCCAAAAGTTTTCATAGTTTTGGGAATGAAAGAGAAAAGGTTGCTGCTGATGTTTTAGCAGGTATCTGTGGTTCCCTGTCTTCAGAAGCCATGGGTTCATCATGTATCACTGGTAATTTCCACAGAAGAGATGGTTCTCAGGATTTGAAGTGCAAAAAGGGTGCTACAACCATATTAAGACGGCGTATGACAGCCAACCTTCTGCAGTCTGTTGATGATGAGGTTTGTTCGGACGAAAGTTGTGGAGAAATGGATCCTTCTTATTGGACAGATGGGGAGAAGTCTCTTTTCATAGAAGCAGTGACAGTTTATGGGAAGAATTTCTCAATGATCTCTACCCATGTAGGATCGAAATCCATGGACCAGTGCAAGGTCTTCTTCTGTAAAGCACGGAAGTGCCTTGGTTTGGATTTGATATGCTCTGCAAAGAAAATGCCAGCAAATGGAGGAGATTGCAATGCTAATGGATTTCCTTGCGAAGCAGGTGTGGACAGAAATGCCTTTCCTTGCGAAGGGGTTGGAAATGGTGGGGAATTGGAGTCCATGAATCCACAATCTACATGTCAGGAAGTTAAAGAGATTAATAGTCATAGTAATACAGCTGTAGATGCCATGGTGTCTGATGCCTGTCATAGGAAGGATACCTCTCATTCAGCATTGGACGAGGACTGCCAGTCTGTGAATTCTGCCAATGATAAGAATCGCTTGCTACACAATCATGCAGTCGTGTCTGATGAAACTGCAAAGGAACAAGGAAATTCTTCTCGGGTCACAGTATCAGTTGGAAATGGTTTGGATGCCGAAACAAAGAGGGGAAATATAGATACTAGCACTGGTCAAGGTGCGAAAGCCTCAGCTCACACAGCTGATAGCTCTTCAGCGTCCTTAAATTCTCATGTCACCTCAGTTCCTAAAGATGAACAAGGGCGTCTACATGTCAGAGTGCGTTCACGCAGTTTGTCTGATTCTGAACAATTGTCTATAAATGGTGACGTGAAACTATTTGGTCAGATTCTTACCCATTCCTCATCTGTGCCAAGTTCAAGTTCAAATGGGAACCGAACGCAGCACAAGTTCAAGCGCAGATTGAAAGCAAGTAGCCATGGAAATCTGAGTACTGCCAAGTTCAGTCGTAAAAGCTCTTCAGGCCAAGAGGATGTTCCCTCAAGAAGTTACGGAATTTGGGATGGAACCCAATTACGGAAAGGGCTTTCATCACTGCCCGATCCCACCACCCTACTGTCCAGATATCCTACATTTGATAATTTCTCTAAATCTACCTCCCCTATAGAGCAGCAGCAGCAGCAGCAGCAGCCCATTCTCAATGAACAGAAATCAAATTGTGATTCCCAGATGTCGGAGGTAAATAGTAGCAAGGTGGCTCAGGAGGTAGTTGGAGGAATTATTGTAGGAGAGATTTGTAATGATGATGATGATGATGCACTAGATACTAAATTGCATTGCAATAAGGCTGAGGATGGTGGCTCTTAGGAGAGAGAATTAGCTGGTAGCAGATTTATGTTTAGAGGGAGCCTTTCAACAGAGGCACTCTCTTAGCAGCAATTGGTTTCTTTTGCTGCACCCCATGTATCATAGTTTCGTTGATGTCAATGAATGATAGCAGAATTTGACGGTTCTTATTGCCGTCTTTGTAGGAGGAAAAAGATAGATTAATGCTTCAAAATTATTTTTCTTCAGTTTAACATAAATTTCAATTCCAGTTACACCAAGGGAGCTGTTTGGAATCGCCATTTGATTTCTGTTCATTTGGAATTTGATCTTCCTAAACGTTTCAGGCAGAAGAGGCTAATAGTGCCATATACCAAAATAGCACATCTGGTTGGCAGTTCTGACGGGGGCCTATAAGAGGATGTATGGATCTTATCTTTTAAATTATTTCTAGAACCTATCTTTTAATATCTTTCATTAAAAAAAAACGTAAACGAAAAGATATGCTTGTGTTATTAAAGTATAAGGATAAGAGAATAGGACTAATCTTTTTGACATCCATGCACTTTATTCATCCACTCCATTTCTGGCATCTTCAGACCCCTTCAGGAGGAAGTCACTCAACGATTTTGACAACCTTTCAACATGAACAAGAGACAAGTCCCTTTTTAGTCATACATGAAAGAAACAAGTTTAAAACAAATACAAGAAAGCACTAGGAAGCTACTTAACATAAAATGCTTCATGTGCCAACTCAACAAATTGAGACGTTTATTTAAAGGGGGAAGCCATATAAAATATCATGAATACTTCCATAGGAATAGATTAACACGAGATGATTGGACAAGACCAATGCGCGCCAACCATGAAAATATTGTCTTCTCATACGCATACAATGCAACAGAGTTATCTAATGAAATTGCATCATATGTGAAGGCATATATAATATAAACCAGTAGAGTCTAGCCTACTATAATATTACTTGACTGCCAACATGGGCGTTGTTCAAAAAAATATAAATGCACTCATCCCATTGAATTTTTGCATCTCTATTATTCTCAATGGACACAAGCATCTGGACAAGAAAACGGTAGTATGACACTCATGTTATATACTAAATTCAAAGCTTACCTCATTGGTTCTTGGGTGATAAAGGACCAATTGATGTGCGTGCAAGTAGTAGCTATAATCTCCAGGCACAGGTTTCTTAGCCTTTTGGTAACTTCTGGACAGAATGTGCACGGTTTCTTTGCAAAAAGAAAGAGGAATCAAATTCAAGATGAGGACAGCAACATAGCGAGGCTCACCTAACAGGAAAAGAAAGTTTTTTCTTTTTTTTTTGAGCAACGCATTTTCAGCACAGTCGATGACATTGCGAGCTCACAAATACGTAAGTCAACTAATGGTTGTTAGAAAAAAGTTCATCTACAAAACAAGCAATGAGAACACCAAAAACATTTAAAAGTTGAAAGGATTGAACAACTTTAAAGAAGCATTACCCAATAGAGGATGCCTATTGAAGAAAGATGGACGCGGATTTGGCGGGGTCATCCAGATTGAATTTCCACCTGTAAAATATATGACGAAATTTAAACCCTTTGAATTGTGGTTCATCGCACAGTTCACTCTCTTTATCAAGAATATTTCCACTATCAGACCAGCTGCAAACTCTCTTTAAATGGCTTCCAAAAATAATTGGAAAATAGTGAAGAATTTAGACCTTGGCAGTAAAGCCCATCGCACCAGAAAATTAATTTGTAGTTTTACGTACAAGCAGAAAAATGCAAATGCGAAGATTATAAAAGTTTGGTCGTTGCAGTACGTGTAAATACATAAGGTGCCTTTTAAGCCTAATGTAATAAGCCCTCCCTCTTTCTTTACCAATCAGAAGTCTCTTGGGCATGTAATTGCAACTCAACAAACAGAAGAAGTCCTCTGTGACCTATTTCAAAGGAATCAGTAGAGGAGCAATGATAAAAGGAGAGGTACATCCGCTTAACTATTTCACAGAACACGCGTGGTGAGGGTTAGCAAAAGGTATAACCATGCTTAGGATATACTTAAAAGTGAAATAAACTCATATACTTCGGTGACAGTGAAAACTAACAAAAATGTGAATAACAGCAGAAAAATCCTTTTAAATAGAAAAGCATATACAGAGAACTGTAGTCAGGAAGTTCTTCCAACAAAGGAGATACCTGGACCAAAGTGTGTTCTCCTCGTTCGTCTATCTCAAGAACATTGACTTTTCTGAAAGCTGGTTTCCCTGCTCAAGTAATAAATTCAAAAAAAGTAAACATGATTGAATATTGAAGCTAGTAACTATTGAAACACGGTCAGATAGACAATGGAAGTAAACATGAACAGGATCATGATCGTGATGGCCATATAAAATTTATCTAGAAATCCATGAATAGTGACACTCCACTTTCTTAGCCAACAACTTAAGAGACTTGTGCTTTCCCTATCATGTACATTTTTATGGTAGCAACACTGTCCTCTCAAGAGAACATGAGTTTTATCGAATCAGCATATAAGATGCGAGCAAAAACCTGAGGAAGTAGCAACGTACAGGCCCTGAGCAACCTCAGGTATTGCATCCATCCAATTAGCAGGTCAATGCTCACCTACAAAGAAAGCGCTCTTAATCATTTATATGCAATTAACAGAAAAAAAAAAAAAGAAGAAAAAAAAACGTTCTGACAAGAAACAGAACTAGCTTTCACTCCGTAGTGATGTAACCTCCAATTATTTTGCACCCTAACTCAGAGAGAGCAAGTGCCGCAACCATTTGCAAGAAATTTAAATCGTCAACCATATTCAAAGATTTTCTACGTTATTTTCATGTAATTTCAGAGGAACAAATGACCCTTGCTAATAGAATTTCCGACAAATATCATCTAACAAGTAACACTGCAGGATTAATATTACTCTCAGAACAGTAAACTAGTTTAAGGGATGAAATGAAAAAGGTTAACCATAACCAGAAATGTCATAATAGATGTACCTCATCATCTTGAATTATTCAAGTTACAAGTTTTTAAAATTCCTCTTTGTACCTTGCGTAGTTTAGACAAGAAAAAACAGTAAGAAAGACGAAGATATTATATGTTCAGATGTTCTAGAATGTTTACATCACATTTTTCTAGTATTAATTTATTTTTTGCTAGATAACTTCTGAAAACTAGCAACTTATATTCTAAAATTAGCAACTATAACAGCCAGAAGTTCAAAAATGAAAACGTGCAGATACGTGAAAAGTTATCAGATTTAATAACTGGATCTGCTTGTTTCCCTTGGAAAGAGCTTTCCCCCACCAATGTATGAGTTTCTAATACTTGCCTAGAAGATGACGCACTTTCTCTTGCATTTTTTTGGACTTGACTGAAATAATTATTCACCAATCCCTTTTATCTATAATTGCTTCGTCACCAGCCACTTCCTCATATTATTTTTTCATTCTTGTTTTCCTTTACTACCAAAAATCAGGATACTGACACTGGGTGGGGGAGGCCTGTTACCCGTTATTTGTTTACCAGACAGATTTCACATTCATCAATCTTTCTAGGCTTGCAAGACAAGCGGTCCTGAATCGTTATTTAGGTGATTTAGCAATATGCTATATATCAGGATCCAAAGCCTCCTTCCCCCCTGGTTAGTGCATGTGCATCTAACAGATGTTTGAGAAGAATCTTCATGTAATATTCTAAAATAAAGTAGTAGTAACAAAAAGTAAGTATCATAAGAATAAAACTCAAAGTAGCATAGATAAGCAAATAAAAACTTCGACAGATTTCAACCATGATGAAAATTAAATCTGATGAACTGGGACGGCTAGTTAGAAATGGCTGTAGACAATAAAGTCTGCAGCTTATAGAAACTACAAACAAAATAATCATTCTTGAATATATACATATATATATATATACATATATATATATATATATATATATATATATATATATATATGTAGAGACAAGATGAGAAATATACAAAAAGTTATATTGCCTAACCTGTTTCTCCCAACGCAAAATGTTCCATCAGCAAAATATGCAGCAACTGTGTTTGAAGCATAAGGGTGACTGGTGAGGCATTCTAAACACAACCATGAAATACATTTCCTAAATAGTTGGTTAGTGAATTACGAAAAGGAGGAAATTCCTTGTGCCAAAAAGTAGATAATAGTCCAGTAGAAAATGTTTCTATACAAATTTATCAAATGGAGAGTAGCAGAAGCAGAATAACTAATTCTTAGGCAATAGTGCTTCATTAGACCGGGAAATGAGGTAGAAATACAGAAATAACCTCAAGGCTTCATAACGTTGATACCCTCCCCAGCATCAGAGCAGCAGGCTTATGATGTTTCTATATACTCTTAACAATTCTAGGAGGCTAGAAACATTCTTACCGAAATAGCGGACCACATAGGAAAAGGAAACATCTAAAGTTAAAAGAGGCACTCTAAATTCGTGACTAATACCACATCTTCAACATTCCATTGCAGTTTCAATTATTTGTTTCATTTCAACATTAATCATAACTGTCTTGTGCATATAAACTGGTAAATTGGGATTTCAAAAATTTTCATTTGACATTGGATTATAGGCAAACAATCAATCAGATATCCAACGATGACAATATATAACAATAAAGCTTCCGCACATTCATGGAAATCTCGTCCAGCGTCGGGTTTATGTCACTTAACCTGAAGTTCTCAAAAGGCGATGAACAGGGACAGGATGCAACCCTTCTCAGTCGGAAGGACTCTGCTTCCTTGACCACCATTGAAGCTGTGTCAAAACTGTGCATTGCTGGGAAACACCGCCAGGTGGTCAAGGAAAAATAGTTGGTAGCTCACAACTTCAAGGCAATTGGAATCAACTAATAACACAGATTAAAAGGGTAAAAAATACCATTTAAAAAGCATTTACCGTTTCGACGTCTTCGTATAAAATCTCGAGCAAATATGGAGTATCTGATTCTTTCCATGGCAGCCGACGATAGACTACTTCTGAACAAATCCTATAAAGCTTGTAATATATGAAAACAACTCAAGCTATCATGCAAGCTTTTGAACAAACTAATAAAATCGGGGGTAAAGAGACCGGTTATATATATATATGAATAATCTGAGAACTGTTTGTGACAACCTGACCATCGATCTATCTACACTTTCTACATTGATTTTGTTTCAAAACATCTTCAAAAAAATAAAATATAATGAAATAAACAAGCACGAACACAAGTTCCAAATAATGTGCAGCAGTGCAATCTCTTTCACAACTGTCATAAATTTCCTAAATTAAAGACCACCGAACCTGTTCGTTCCGAATTCGCTGCAACCAGCTGCAACATTAATCGATGCAAAACAAGTTTCATTAACGATCAGCAATAGCATCAGAAATATCAAACACGAGAAAATCCGATAATCTACACAAAGTTTGAGTAGGCCTACCCCTCCAGTGGAGCCGATATCTTATATTTGCAAAAAATAAAGCTCGATCGAAGACTTTCCTGACAAGTTATCACACAAAGAAGAAGCGATCACTAAACATGAAATGGAAATGGCTTCCGTGAAAAGCGAAGTTGAGTGGAAATAAAGAGAACCGGAGTCGGAGGGCTTAACGACATCGTTGTAGAACAAGCCGTCGTTGAGATCTGGCCATGGAATTCCGATAACTTGAAAGAGCCTTCCGAGCATAATACGGATTGATCTTGAATGTGGAAATCGAGAAACAAATTTGGCCAGCAATGCATTCCGCGCCACTAGTCCTTGAAATGCAGGAATTCAGTGCAGAATCACGAGCGGGAAGTAGCGTTGTCTTGAAGAGGAGAGTAAGAGGGACATGTAAGTTCAACAATCTCTTGACTCGGTCAAATCGGTAAAAATCGTTACATTTATATACACAACGAGAAATATATATATATAGAGAGAGAGAGAGCGGTCAGATGCGAATCCTCGTTATAAATGTTGCTTAACTAAAATTAAAAAGAAAAAGAAAATAATATATATATATATATATATATATATATATATTAATCTGATTTAAATTTATTTTTAATTTTATCTTAAAAATTAGAAGTTGACTCTTTAAATAGTTTTTTTTTACTTTTCAATCTAAATTTGATTAAATTTTACCAATTGTAACTAAACAAATTTTTACCCCTCCAGTATCCACCAATTTCTAATAATTTTTACTTGGCCAAACCATAGCATAAGAGACTAACACAATAACCCAAATGAAAAAGATTACCTTTTATCGTTAAAAAAAAAAAAATACTAATTTGTATATAATGATATACAATATTTGACCCAATTTTAATAACTAATTTCTTTTAAAATTATAAAAAATCAATTAAAAACTTTTTAGCTTCTAGAAGTTAAATCTATAAATATTATTTTTATCTATGAATTTAGTTGTATGGGTTATTCACTTTTTAAATATGCTTTAAAAGGCTATTGATATCTTCCTAGAATCATGAGTTACTTGCACATACTCATTGGTAATATTTGCAAAAATGAAAATGTTTATGTACTGTATATTAATATTCATGAGTTTAAGATCTCATATCAGTGGGAGAGAGAAGAACGAATTCTTTGTAAGGGTGTGAAAATCTATGAAGAAAAGCTCGGAAGAGAAAGTCTAAGAATGATAATATTGTTGGCAGTAAACTTAGACTATTATATGAATATTCGAAATAAATTAATCCATTTTGAATAAGAGGAAAAAAAAAAAAAAAAAAAAAACAACAAAACATGTATAAAATTATCATATATACCATTAAAGCTTGATTAAAATTTGATTTGGTAACCATTTGATTCCTGAAACGATTTCCATCTTTTTTGAGTGTGCATTTAACTTCTTGACAAAACATATACAAAAATAAATAACATGTTTATTAAAAAATTAAATGGAACGGGATCCAATTTTTGGAGAATATGGTCGTGAGTTACATTAGCAATCATGGTACCTGCAACTTGAACGTTGGCTCGAGATTTTCTACCCCCTTCTTATTTTGAAAAAATAGAGGTACCATGCGTCCTTAAATAGATAATTATGTTTTGGTTAGCCAACTAACTAAAAAGTAAACTTGACTCGGCCTTGACAAGGGAAAAAACGTCATAAACGCCAATTCAAGATCAGACATGCAAAACAGAAAGTGTGCTCCATTTGATGAGTTTTCCATGAACACTTTTGGAAGGTTGAAGGAAAGGTACAAAAGAAATCAACTTTCCAGGGTCAACTAAAATAGTGATTGATTTAGCCGACTATATTGAATTCAATTTATGACAGTCTCCCGTTTCCTCACATTTCTCCATCTTTCCTCTATAATTGGTCGAGTTTCTCATCACCTTCCTTCTGGGCCAAAATATGACAAAGCAAAATTGAACAACATTCCCACCAGGATTTAATACACACACAAAGACACTTTTTATTTCATCAATTTATACTTTGAACTGTCAAATACTGCCAAATGAACAAACTGGTGTATAATGGAGAATTAAACACAATAGGATACAAAGAAGAACACTCACAATAAATGGTGAAGGAGAGATCAGCAAGGTATGTTGGTTGGTGACGGAGGACCTGCTACCTGAAGAGTGGTAACTGGATTCCAGCTCTCAATGTCGCCACAATGACCGTTTTTCACAGTAACTACCGGAAAAGGGGTCGATTTGCCGATTGAATCTTGGAGGGTTAGTTTTTCCGAAGCTACTGCCTTGAGTCGGAATCGCTCTGCCCTTGAGCCGATAACCTGGCCTAAGACCGATGCTGCAATTGTAAATGCCATTGCTGATTTTGGCATTAAGATGGATTTCCTCAGCATAGCTATAAATGGAACAGCTGCATGAACGGCAGCAAACCAAGAGGGTGAGAATTTTTCAGTGTGTTCTCTCCATATTCCTAAAGGTACATTTGCTGCCATGCCTAGTAGACCGATTGCAAGTACTTTTGCTGGCAACGGTTGGGGGCGGAGATTTTTTGCAAATGCAGTCTTTGCTAAGGCTGCTCTTGCTGCAACTACGGCTGGTGGACATCTAAATTTCATGCCTGGTGGGGGCTGAAGAGCTTTCGCAACAAGCGGTATGACATTGCTAACAGCACGGTACGACTTTGCAATTGGGCAGTTCCCCATTTGCAGCCACTCATTACCCACAGCTTCATGTGAATTTCCACCCTGAAAATGAACATAATGATAAGTCAAGAGAAAAGATCACATACATCCTATAGATTTTCACCCATTCCGATCAAAATATTCTTTAGCATATGAATTCCATGATTTTTCACCTAGCAGCTAAAGTACTCAATAGATATAACCCATCAAAGATTAACAATTGATCACCTTTGAAGAAGACTCTTTCTTGGATGACTCAAATTTCTTTTTCTGATTTTTCCACTTGTCTGAAAATGAATCAAAGCTGAAGGGACCTCCAGGTCCGAAGGAAGAGAGACTAATAGTGGCAGCTTTTGCAGCTAGAGGATTGAACTGCGATGGGGCTGGTTTGAGTTCTACACTCTCTGGATGCATAGATCTTCCAGAGAGTGGAACCACTCCATCTCGACCATGGAAAAGCCTAAATGCCATATCAAAATTGGGACCATCTTCAAAAATTGGCCCTTTAGCTCCACGTACCTATAAAGAGTGTAGAAGCAGTTATTAGATTAACTAGAAATCAGAAAAATGGCAGAATTATATGCAAAACTGAGTTACAAGAACATCGAGGGAGACCTAACAACAGCCTACATTGAAGATTGTACGATTTATCGAAGAACTAAATATAACACTCGAATCCTGGAGCGAACTGCTAATAGTTATAACAACACAATAAGAGGATAACTAACAGAGGTACAAAAAGTGCATTTAATTCACCTCAGCCATGTCACCAGAGATAAGAAAGTATCCACTTATTCATCTATTAAGTCATACTAGCAAGAAACTGAAACAGGTATACATATACCATATACACTAGAATAAGTAGTGCTTGGGCTGGCAACACTAAACTATATGAAATGATTTATATATAACTAGAATTAATATTTACATGTCTCAAGTGTTGTAAAACAAATATTTATATATTTATATATGTAGAGTATTGTAAATAGTTATAAAAATAATGGAACACTGAATAACTTTGACAGGAAGACTATTATTACATTCCTATTACGTTGAACCCTTAGTATAATTTTAGGGAAATACAGATGCATATCTGATATTCAAGTGTTTTCCATTGTTGAACATTGACCAATGTTGTAATTTATAGGACAAAACGAGTTGAATTAATTCATTTGTACAAATTCAAACATAAAATTATAGAACGAAAAAACTTACAGGCATGGGGAATGCCATGGACGAGGAAAATGAGAAATGAGTCGGCTCATTAATATTCCTCAAGAATGGGCATCTTTGGATATCCTCTGTAAAGCCTCCAAGGAAATTATCCATTTCTACCTTCAATAACCTAACATACTCAAAGATGGAATGGTCACCATAAGTTTTTTACAACAGAATCGGTATATATTTATATAGAAGAAGAGTACACAAAGAAACAATATCCATAGCATGAAGGTTTTTCTTTTCAATTCAAGCATAAGAGCCCCAAAACCACACGACTGCTTAAAGCCAATTTTCACGAAGAAAAGTCAACCAAAGTAAAATGAACTAGGAATTAGCTTTTCTCCTGAAAGAATCTTCCCAATTCATCTAGAGGCCCTAATCACTAAAACCACTTCAATATGCAGGAGATGCAACAACACGCAGTAGTTGAAAACAAGGATATGCAAGCAATTCTAGACACAACTAACAAAACCGGTTGTTTATTCAATCAACTTGATCAACACTAATGAGCAAAATTGTCATTCAATTAAGGCTATATGCGACAAAATTCCACAACAACCAACTCTGAACTGAATCCATAGCTAACGGATCCTGAAAATACAAAACTAAAACACAAATCCGAAACAATTCGAATGTATTGAGCCCGTAAGAAGCAGATGTACGTCTAGCAAGTCAGATCGCACAAAAACTCCAACAATTACAACAGAAAATAAAACGAACGAAAATTAAGAACGCAATTAAAAACAGAAATTAAAAACACGGTGCAAAGTCAGATCGGAAACAACAGAAGAAAAAGGAATGCAGAATCGTACCTGAAGATCTGAGATAGAGAGAGGAAGAGGAGAGGATCGGAGAAGGGATAATAGGTAGGTGAAGGCAGAGATGGAGTAGAAAAGAGAAATGCTTTCGATTTTTGTTTTTTGTTTTTGTTGCAGAACAGAGCGGAGAGAGAGATGAAACGACGCCGTGCAAGACACACGCCTTGGTTGAAGTTCTGAAAGAGGGAGGGAGAAATTGGTAATTTTAATTGGGAAATTTTGGGAAAGAGGCGTGGCGTATGGCGGGCGTCCGCAACCTAATTTTTGGTCAACGCTTTGCAGCTGCCTCCTTTGTCCTTTTCTTGCTGCCGAAATGGGCTTTGGTTCCCTCATTGTGGGCCCACGCGCCACGCGCTTCACGCGCTTTAAATGCAACTCTTCCTCTGCTCAGCCTGAACTTGGAAGTACTCCCCCCTGGTCTCCCTTTTCTTTCAATTATTATTATTAGGTTAATTATTGTTTTTTCTATTATATGAAATAAAACACTCCATATTAATTTTTTTACTAACTTTAAACTAATTTAAAATAATTTGAAAATAAAAAAGACTAAAATATATTAAAATTTATTGAAAATATAGAGATTAAAATAGAATAAAAATCACATAATCAAAATAATATTTTTATTTTTATTTACTTATTTGAATTCAAAAGGGAGAAGTAAACAAGGGAATGCTGACTTTAATCTGTTTCACTTCCTTTTTGTTTAATTTAATTTAATTTAATTTATTAATTATTCCTCCCTTGAGAAATTTGGAGATTTTTTTCTTCCTTTTTTTATTTCTCTCCCTTTACCTTTACTTTTTTTTTTATTCAAAATAAAAATAATTCAATATTTATTATATAAGAACGTTATGCACAAATTGACTATAATCTATAACAGTGATACAAAATAAATAATTTCTAAAACTTTTTTAAAAGTATAGTTGAATCTAGATTTTTAGTCCAATAATTTAAAGATCATTAATTTTTTTAGTATAATTTAATGTTTTATCTACAAAATTATACTGAAAATGGGCAATTAGTTGGGTTAAAAATAATAATAATCAAACAATTAAACCATATTTATACTTGGAATTCAAAATTATTTTTCAAATGACAATATGTTTACATATTTTTCTTTAAAAATCGAAATGTCGGTTTTCGAGATTTGAATTTGATTTCAGATGGGTACCTAAGAAGTCAAAATAATTTTTTATAAAAAAAGAAAGTAAATAGAAATAAGATGAAATCCTATGAGTTCAAGTTTAAGAAGAAACTGAATCCAATCAATACTTACAAATAACAAGTGAAGTTTTTAACAAAAGCTGTGATCAAAAGAAACTAACTGCCATCACTATGTACAAATGAAAGCAACCAGGAAACCGATGATGGATGGATTCACATCTCTACAAATCTCCAGTGCTTACACTGATGAGTTCGACAAATTCGACAATACGAAATAATCCCCTAAAAGCCTATCCTATACTATACTAAAAGAAACACCAAGGAAAACACACAAATCTTGCACTAAATGGACAGTCAAATACCAAAACCATTGAACCAACCGACCTATCGCGGTTTCGTTTCCTCACATGTTTCCTTGTACTCTGGCTTCAGCTCATATGTTCCTTGGTGAACACCCTTGTTGTTGTAGACACAGAGATCTTTAAGGATTTCTTTCATATATTGCTGCAAAAATCAGATGAGCATTCATGAGGTGTGCCAATTCAAAATAAATCTTATTTCAGGTCGGTCGGTTTCTCGAAACAACTGTTTTGAGTAAAAATGAACTTGTAGTTACAAGTTATCATATTGGTTGTCTTATGTCCAATATGGTTGTCTCTAAGTCAGATGATAAACTAAACGTGCAAAATTAGCCTTCATCATGTGTACCAATTCAAGATAAATCTTATTTCAGGTCGATCGGTCTCTCGAGTCAACGGTTTTGATGTCCAATATGGTTGTCTTTCAAAGAGAGTAAAAATGAACTTGTAGTTGACAAATTATCATATTGGTTGTCATATGTCCAATATGGTTGTCTCTAAATCGATTGTTGATAGATTAATGTATATTTATAAACATGCTCTGAAATGATGCACAAGGAAAAAAATAAATGATTCATTTCGATGAGGTAAAAACCAGGTGATAAACTATAGGTGCAAACTTAGTATTAGATTAGTGTGCAAATTCAAGATAAAGCTTACTTCAGGTTGATCGGTCTCTTGAATCAATTGTTTTGAGGTCCAATATGGCTGTCTTTCAAAGAGCCTAAAAATGATCTTCTCCAATTCGCCACGCTCCTTCCTCAGCCTCTTATTTTCCGATCCCTTGCTCACCACCTTCTTCTTCTCCTGTATCACATTTGTTCACACAAATAGTAAAAAATAATCCTTGGAAGCATTTGAACAAGCTTCAGCCTGACTACGAGGTTAGATAGATATAGCACAGGCTTAAACCGAAACGGCGAGCGAAATCAAAATTGAAATTGACAATGAGAATATATGAAACAATGTAGAAAAGAAAGTAGTATAAGTACTGCAGCTCCAAATGACAACACGTCCATCCCTGGCATTGGCCTCATATGTCCTCCTGTGACATGATCAATCACCTGTATGGAATATTTGGAAATTTGAACTAAGATCATAAAAGAAATAACCGAACACCCAAGTACGCTGCAGAAAGTTACAAATGAGACCTGAATCTGTCTGCTTTTGGTCATAGACTTGTGAGTTCTTTCACGACAGAGTTTCCCGTAACTATCAAGATTTTGATCATGCGGCTTCATGTCAAATTTGTTCAGTATTTTTCCTTCAACAGTAAACTTCCCTAAATTGAAATAAGAATTGATACCATCAGGCAGATATTCTGTAGTAATGATCTAAAATAATGTTGAATAAGTTCAAAGAATAAAAAAAAGTTATAGCTGCTCTAAATTTCTGAAAGTCTTTGTACACAGAGAATTTCAATATTTCAAGATGAAAAATAGAAGTTATAGCTGCTCTAGATTTCTTGAAGTCTCTATAGTACACAGAACTTATCAGTTTTATTTGTCGGTCCAGTAAATAAGCAGAAATTTGAAGATAGAGATCAAGATGGAAATTTGATTAGAAGTTCTCTATACTATAACTCAATCAATGTAAATCTCCTCTTCTAACATTACAGAATCTCAATTCAAAAAGCTGGAACGAACATATAAATGTCAAGACAGCAAATAATTAAGAACCCTGTTCGTATGCAAAGACAAATATTTTCTGCAGAATTTGATCAACATGTGCCTTGAGATTATTTACTCCATCTCTTACTGCTGAAAATATGTTCTAGTTTTCATCAGATAAAATATGTGCCTCGAGATCAATTACCCTATCTCAGTACACTAGATGTTGGACAGAAAAGGAATAAAGAGGATTGATGAGATAAAGGACACAGAAAGGGATGGAACTTGGAGGGAAATATAAGCAAACAGAAGCCTAATGAACTTGCTGTAGTCAGGTTCATCTAAAGAAACTGTCTCTCATACTAACTCTCAGATTGTGAACTTTTCTTTTTCTTTTTGAACAATGGTCACACTATATAAATAACCAGCAAGAAGCGTATTGAGATATCTCTCACGCCCAAACCTAGGAATTCTATAAAGCTTCCTAATTCAAATATATTTGAAAGAGATAAAACTCATGATGTTTAGTACCATAAAATTAATATTGTATAGACGATTTTGAAAATAATTATTGGCGCACATATAGTCTAAAGAATAAAAATAGATATTCACATCCAAGATTGATGAAGATGTCAATACCAGTTGAACAAATTATATAAATTGAATCTCATATCACAATCAGAGTAATAGTTCATCTAACTGACAAGTAAACATTTGAAGGCATCATATTCATCGGTCAGTTTTTAATAAGCAGGCCAGAGCGACATAAACCAACCTTGTGCTGACTCAGAAAATACAGACATCGGAATAAAATCTGTCGACATATTCAATGAGTAGGCCCTTAATGCTTTTCCGGAGTCGGTGTCAGCCAATTCCATAGTAAACTAAAATCATAGAGCCATTGTAAGCTGAAGAAATCAAGCAAACAGATGCTGATATAAATTAATCTCTAATTTCTCTTTTAGTATAACTAATAAACAGTGTAAGTACCCTTGAGAAAAAAAACTTAAGCCCAACTTTGAAATAAAAGATAAAGTTTCTTGCATTTACAAGTAAGAAAATATACAAGAAGGGTTAAAAAGGTCAGCATATTGACAATCTGTTAGGACGAATAAGAAAATCTACAAGAAGTGTTAAAAAGGTAAGTAAATTGACAGTGTGTTAGGACGAATAATAGAACCATTACGACAACCTTATTGGAATAAGATTGTTTCTATAGGTTGTACCTTGGTGTGATTGATTTATTAAAAAAAATAATAATAATAGAACCATTACAGGAGCTGTGAGTAAACATTCTTTAGAGATAATTGTAGTAAAAGATTGTATCACAATTGGAAGGCCAAAGCCCTGAAAGGCGCTCTCAGCAACATATGGATTAGTTTTCACTTCATGGATAAAGTATTCATCTTCTATGACAAATAACTCCACAATTTATTAAAGGAGAAATAACTAAGAACTATCTTGGAAATGTGCCTTACAAGAAAAATAATTTAAGAGAAAGTAATTAACATGACATGGCTAGCATTACAAATAGGTAATCTGTCATAGTATTGTGGCTAAAAGGTACCTGGGCCTCCTTGCACATGGCCAAACCGAAGGTCTAGTAATTTTTAGCTAAAACCATGTACAAGTCACAACAATTACACAGAGCATCTGCTTATTTAACACGCTAGTAAACCAACAGGCAAAAATTCTCTCACCAATTCAAAGCTGTGAATAAATTCTAAACAGAGACATAGTTTAGGAACATATAGCATTTCACAATCTAAAGATTCTATTGTTACTCATTTAGATATTATGTTCTTTGATACTTGTACATCAACCATGTCTACTTACAAACATCTCAACTAAGTTTATGGGACAATCACATGAGCCTATAACATCTGGTTGTGAGAAAACTTGTAGAACTTACATAAAGTTGAATTTGAATCAAAAAGTCACAACTTTTTATTAGTCAACAAATAACTTTAGGAATACGAGGTCGGTGTCGGGAAACATTTGAAGTTTTTAATTTGGGAACACTTTGGACCCTTTGCCTCATCATAAGGCACTGTAGACATAAAAGTGTGGCTAGAAAAAATAT